CAGTTGAGTTTCTAAGGGTATGTTATGTTTTCAAACTTGAGTTTAGTATGTGAGAGAAAACACTGTACCAAAAAAGTTAAATTTAAATTTTTGTGAGAAAAAATACTGTAACAAAAAGTTTGAGTTGTGATTTGAGTTACGTAAAAGAACATGCCCTAAGTAGCCTAAAATCCCTTTTACACAAGAAAAAAGATAGTTAATTATAGTGCATGTTTGGAACCTATTTCAGTTTCGTTTTTCACATTTTTCAAGGACTAAAAAATAAAAATGCTTTGAAAATTGTGTTTGGCACCGCATTGTTAGAAAAACATAAATGAAAACATTTTTGGATGTGTTTGGATTTGTTTTTGTTTCTATTTTTCACGTTTTTTAAGAAAGAAAAAATAAAAACGGGAGAGAAATAGCGTTTGACAATATTAAAGATAAAAAATGTTGGTAACCGAATCGAATTCGGATGCGGAAGCGTGGCGGGAAGGCGGATCGTGTATAACAAAAATTTCATAAAACTTTTGAGATACTCTATAGATTATATTAATTTATGTACGAATAAATTAATCACATTAATTTATATGTCAAGAACTCAATTAGGAAAAATACTTGGAGGCCGACTCGGATCATAACTTGAGTTCTTTGACCACGAACAGTCCTTGCTCCAATCTTTGTGTTTAGAAAACTAAAGTCTTCCACGTCAATTCCTTGATTCCACGTAGACGTGTGTGTGGGCACACGTGAGACAAAATAGGTTTCAAAAACACTCGAATTTTCACAAACACTAACGCATGCACGATGTGGAATTTTTGGGAGAAAAATTTTCCTTTCTTTTTCCTTTTGAGAAATTCGGCCACCTCACAAGTTAGGGCAGAAAAATATTTTCAAAAACTGTGTCCACAATTTTCTATCATTCTCATATTTAAAGAGTAGAAGTCAAACTTCAAAAAGGAATCAAATCTCTATCTCGTATTTGAATTTTGAATAAAAAATCTCCTACACATTATCTATTGTGGCCGGCCACCCCTAAGGGTTTTTACCCTGTGTGTGGCGCCAATTCCAGATAGGAAAGGAAGAGAAATCATCCTTTATCCTGTAGTCCAATTTTAATTCAAATTCAAATTTAAGTCAAACTTAAATTAATTTGAATT